GGTCATCTACTTGTCTACTTTTTTGTTTCTTTATACTCTCAAGTTGAGTATAAGTATAATGACTTATATCTCGTGCACAGCATCCAGCAGTTACTCAGGGTTCAGTTTTATATACATTCTGCAAAAGAATTTGTTGAAAGCATGATTTGCCAGATTCATAAAAAGAAAGAATGTTTTTAATGCCCTTTTCATTAATTTCTGGCGCATTTTCAAACAAATAGTATGTTGCAGGATTTGGATGATCAAAGGCGAACAATAACTTTGTAACCAAAGACCAGAGTGAATCTTTACATGACTTGATTGCACGAGCATTCTGGCTTGCTACAACATCATCAGTGTATTCTGCAAGAAGCATTGATAAATGATTCCTCTCACTTTGGGTTGCTTTAACTTTTAACATCATGGTCGGCTGGTCAGTAAGATTTCCAGTAATATTTTGCTTTATGAACTTTACGCCATACGTTTTAAGTGCTTCATCAAAAGCTAAATAATGTCCTTCACTTCTAAGGTTTACTGAGCATACCGTTTGTAATAATTTCTGTAATTGTGAATCATCATGAACTTGAGCCAAAAAGTGCGTTACAGAACTTGCGTACTTAACCTTTCTAGCTGCAGGGAAGAGAGGTGCAAACGCAGCCAAATTTGATATTTGCATCCTGTAATTTTCTCTTCTAATTCCAATTTTATGACCCACGAAATATTCCGTCTAACAGAAAAAGAGATACCATACTTTTATGAATTGATTATCACTTTTCAAAATGTCATTCATAGTTTCTCCTTTGTTTTTCACATGCTGACACAATGCAATCCCAACTGTGATCCAGATTAATTCCAATACGCGATATATTGCCCAGTAATCCACGACACGTTCAAGTTTATCTAAGTATCATATACCAAAAGATGCCGCAAGGTTGAATATTTCATATCCTGAGAATATTGTAATTAGGACGCTGCACATATCTTTAGATGTATGCCACTGTCCCAAAAGGAGTCAAACATCTTCGTGAATTTCCTTATAGGAGATTAATCTCCCAAAAATTGCTTGGTCACATGCAATATATAGACCGTTATTATTACCACGAGGTAAATCATCATGATACATTTCACATGCTACATGAACATTTTCATTGCAGTTGGGTGGATTACCGGGTTCTAATATCACAACATTTGGTAGTAAAGTATTACAACCTATAGATACTTGCTTAATGATTTCTGAGTATACATCTTTTATATCAAATTCATTTACGCGAGTCTCTAACATTGTATTTAAAATATTCTCATATATCATTAAAAGGTCATCGGTAGTTGAAGACTTTCCGAATAGTGGTTGATTAACGGATTCATGGTCTCCAATTAGGTCATCAAAAGAAGTTGAAATAGTAAACTGAAATACCATCCGTAACGTTGCGTGTGAAGTTTGTCATGTAACGTCAAAAATATTGCCATATGAGAACGTAGAAGCTTTGAAATCGATATTGTCAATTACTGCCAAATTCCAAATATTTGATCCTTCGATCAAATTCTCTCTAGGATCTGTATGATGCATTCTAAATTTTTCAAGACGATTTTCATGCTGCTTAGTGTAAGATATTATGCAAGCTGAATGAAGGATCTCTCATAAGTATGGTAGCAATTTTGGCTTTTGGCATATTGATGATATTATGTGAGAAAGCTAGATTTTCATTCCAAGGAAAGCGATGGTTAGTAGCATGAAGGTTAATAAAGTGGTTGTTTTTGATATTTGACTTGTATTGAGTGATTTTGGAGGAAGTCCACGTTGAAGCCTCTTTTTATTAACAACATTTTGTTTTTGTTGTTGTAGTACTGTGATGAGGGCTTGAAAGAAACCGCAAATAATTTTAGGTAATGCATTGAAATAACTTTTATATGAACTCGGGTTTTCTAATTGACTAATATTTTGTTGAATTTCAGAACGCGAAAATAAAACTTCTCTTCCTAATTTTTCTTCTATCATTGAAGCCTTTTCTAAAGTTACTATATGAGACCTTTCCTTTTTTAACTTATTTGATTCAACTTTTCCCATTCTTAATGCTGTTCTAACAAG